CCAGTAACACCAGTAACACACCAGTGACACACCAGTGAGACCAGTAAGAAACCAGTAACACCAGTGGGACCAGTGACACCAGTGAGACCAGTAACACCAGTAACACACCAGTGACACACCAGTGAGACCAGTAAGAAACCAGTAACATCAGTGAGACCAGTAACACCAGTAACACACCAGTGACACACCAGTGAGACCAGTAAGAAACCAGTAACATCAGTGAGACCAGTAACACCAGTAACACACCAGTAACACCAGTAACACACTAGTGAGACCAGTAACACCAGTGACGCCAGTAACATCATGATCCCAGTAACACCAGTGACACACCAGTGACACCAGTGACACCAGTAACACCAGTGAGACCAGTGAGACCAGTGACACCAGTGACACCAGTAACACACCAGTAACACCGGTGAGACACCAGTGACACACCAGTCAGACCAGTAACACAACAGTAACACCAGTAACACCAGTGAGACCAGTAACACACCAGTAACACACCAGTAACACACCAGTAACACACCAGTAACACACCAGTGAGACCAGTAACCCACCAGTCACACACCAGTAACACCAGTGACACACCAGTGAGACCAGTAACACACCAGTAACACCAGTGACATACCAGTAACACCAGTGGGACCAGTAACACCAGTGACACCAGTGGGACCAGTGACACCAGTAACAAACCAGTAACACCAGTAACACACCAGTGACACCAGTGACACCAGTGAGACCAGTGAGACCAGTGAGACCAGTGACACACCAGTAACACACCAGTAACACACCAGTGACACCAGTGACACACCAGTGACACCAGTGAGACCAGTAAGACACCAGTGACACACCAGTAACACACCAGTAACACACCAGTAACACACCAGTAACACACCAGTGAGACCAGTAACACACCAGTAACACACCAGTAACACCAGTGAGACACCAGTGAGACACCAGTAACACCAGTAACACCAGTGACACCAGTAACACCAGTAACACCAGTGACACCAGTAACACCAGTGACACCAGTAACACCAGTGACACCAGTAACACCAGTGACAAACCAGTGACACCAGTGACACCAGTAACACCAGTAACACACCAGTGAGACCAGTAAGACACCAGTGACACCAGTGACACACCAGTGACACCAGTGACACCAGTGAGACCAGTAACACCAGTGACACCAGTGAGACCAGTGACACACCAGTGACACACCAGTGACACACCAGTAACACCAGTGACACCAGTGACACCAGTAACACCAGTGACACCAGTGACACCAGTAACACCAGTGACACCAGTGACACCAGTAACACCAGGGACAAACCAGTAACACCNCACCAGTGACACCAGTAACACCAGTAACACCAGTGACAGCAGTAACACCAGTAGCACCAGTGACACCAGTAACACCAGTATAAAGACACTGGTGACACCACTACGAGCCTGCCCAGTGCTCCCAGTGCCACCAGTACAAGGGACACCAGTGTCCCCAGTGTCCCCAGTGTCCCCAGTACCACCAGTTCGAACTACACCCTCCTCCCAGTGGCACCAGTAACACCAGTATGAAGATACTGGTGCCCCCAGTGCCACCAGTATGACCAGTGAGAGCATCCCCAGCGCTCCCAGTGCCACCAGTATAAAGGACACCGGTGCCCCCAGCGCTCCCAGTGCTCCCAGTCCGACCATCCCCACCCCTCCAGCGCTCCCAGTACAACCAGTACGAGCATCCCCAGCGCTCCCAGTGCTCCCAGTGCCCCCAGTGCCCCCAGTATAAAGGACACCGATGTGCCCAATGCTCCCAGTGCTCCCAGTCCGATCATCCCCACCCCCCCAGTGCCCCCAGTATGACCAGTGAGAGCATCCCCAGTGTTCCCAGTGCCACCAGTATAAAGGACACCGCTGCCCCCAGCGCTCCCAGTGCTCCCAGTGCGACCAGTACAACCATCCCCAGAGCTCCCAGTGCCACCAGTGCCACCAGTATAAGGGACACCGGTGCCCCCAGCGCTCCCAGTGCTCCCAGTCCGACCATCCCCACCCCCCCAACGCTCCCAGTGCTCCCAGTCCGACCATCCCCAGTGCTCCCAGTGCCACCAGTATGACCAGTATAAAGGACACCGCTGCCCCCAGTGCCCCCAGTATGACCAGTCCGACCATCCCCACCCCCCCAGTGCCACCAGTACGACCAGTACAAGCATCCTCACCCCTCCAGCGCTCCCAGTATGACCAGTATGAGCATCCCCAGCGCTCCCAGTGCCCCCAGTATAAGGGACACCAGTGTCCCCAGTGTCACCAGTATGACCAGTACAAGCATCCTCACCCCTCCAGCGCTCCCAGTATGACCAGTGAGAGCATCCCCAGCCCTCCCAGCGCTCCCAGTATAAAGGACACCGCTGCCCCCAGTGCTCCCAGTGCCCCCAGTGCCCCCAGTATAAAGGACACCGCTGCCCCCAGCGCTCCCAGTGCTCCCAGTCCGACCATCCCCACCCCTCCAGCGCTCCCAGTATGACCAGTGAGAGCATCCCCAGCGCTCCCAGTGCCACCAGTATAAGGGACACCGGTGCCCCCAGCGCTCCCAGTATGACCAGTGAGAGCATCACCAGCGCTCCCAGTGCTCCCAGTGCCCCCAGTATGACCATCCCCAGCGCTCCCAGTGCTCCCAGTACCACCAGTACGACCATCTCCAGCGCTCCCAGTGCCCCCAGTACAAAGGACACCGCTGCCCCCAGCGCTCCCAGTCCAACCAGTCCGACCATCCCCACCCCCCCAGCGCTCCCAGTCCAACCAGTCCGACCATCCCCACCCCCCCAGCGCTCCCAGTATGACCAGT